TCAGGCTTCGCAAAATGGCGGTTTTAATAAAACTTTTATCTGCTCAGAATGACAATGTCATCACGAATCCAATTATCACCTTCATTTTGTATTGTTCATCGATACACCAATTACCAACACATTTCAACAGCGAAACAATTGGTGGTGCATTCACGTTAGGCAGTCTTCCTTTGGCCATAGACCAGATTTCCGTGGAAAGAACTCTTTGTTCCTGTAAATTGGCCTGTATTCTTCGTCATATAAAATTATGACTCTCACCAGTCTGGCTGTATATATATTAGCTTAATAAAGCATAAAGACTTGATAGAGTGTATCACTTAAAACAAAATACGCCACCAGCAAATCATATTAAATCAGATGAAGACAGATAGCTTTCCTTTGTCCTGTCACAAAAAATTCTATTTTTTTCACGCCGTCCCAGACAAATTACTGGTATGATTTTTGTGATATAGTTCATGAAAAATACTGTGCTACACAGCTTGTTCTCTTGCGTTATGAGACCCCTCTATAAATTAATTTGTCAAATTGTAAATCAATACAACATAGGCGGCTGTCACTCACTCTTCCGGAGAACTTGATTCCTATCTGCGGCCGGTTTGTCAGCTCGCCTTCCCTTCCCTGTTGTAAAGTCAACATAACTAATAAAAATCCGCATAAGCAAAACAATTCCAAAAACTAAAAACCTCGTCTAATATTGTATACGTATAATCAAACAGTCTCAAAGTTTATTTAATTTACAAGTATTACAAGTCACGTAACTATAATTCTTATGCATGTTCAATAAAATCTCTAAGATTTGATATTTCCTCGTATTTATTCTTTACCATGTTCAATAATGCACTATACATTTAATGAAACGGTAAAGGGTTTGTTAACTCAACCTGGGATTATTAAATAAATTTAATCATATCTACGTTTAGTTTAGTTTTTCCCAGCAACAGTCTTTCCATTTTCTTTGTTTGAGATAAAACGGGATCATGAATTCCTTTTTAAAATTGAGAAAAGGTGCACCAAATACGAAACTACGTACGGTTCTTAAATGGATATAACACACACGAAGGTCGTTCACAACCAGTCACTTTCCAACTTAATAAATTTGACAAAGGCCTGAATTTAACAATGCCATTAAAGTCATTTCTAAATTCGACTTAATGAGTCAAGGAAGTGATTCAAAATGGTTGTGAACTACGTTCGTGTGTGTTACTTCCATGTAAGAACCATACGTAGTTTCGTATGATGTACACCACTTTGTGGATTTAGACCACGATGATTAATGTTGGATTAACTAACTCCAAACTGTATTAAGTCAGAAAATAAATGTTATGTTATATCAATTAAAATTAGAAAATGAACAACTGAGCTGGGGCCAACTTGTGGTGACTGTGAATTTTCAGATGTCGGTGCTCTCATATCGATTGAATTCATCGAATTTATATTTCAATGAACAATAATATTTTTATCGAACTAATTATAAAAAAATCGTCGAAGCAGAAAAGTGATAATATGATATAAAATTAATCTATTATAAATATCAATTCTATCTATTGTATTGTGATGATTACGAGTTCAATATTCATATAATTATTATTTATTAAATGTTGTTTAACAGTGATGATGTTAGTGGCGTGACGATGCAAACGATGACAATGATTATAATGATGACGACAACGACGACGATTCTGATGACAACGGTATTGATGCTGATGCTGATGCTGACGATGACGAATCCGATGATTATGATACTGATGCTGATAAGAATGATGACGACGAACACGATGCTGATGACAATGACGACGATGATCATGATGGTGAGTATGGCTATAACGAAAAGCAACTAATAAGATACATAGTTGTAACAACAATTGTAACAATTATGATACTGAATTTTCAGATCTATTAGTTTAAGCTAAAATTTTCGAGCAGCCACTCCTTCTAATCCCAAGAGTAGCGACCAACATATAGACAAATAATTGAGATTGGCTTATCACAATATCATAATATAAAAGGTTACTTTCATAACACAAATTAGACTTAACATAGAGAGGTCCCTTGGAAGACATAATATTGAAGTAATAACCAAGCGGGAATCAGGATTCACTGATAGTAAATTCATATGATTTTATGTGGCAGCTTTATCTTATCTTGGCCGTTTATGTTTATCTATGCTTATTTCGGTAGTAAGTCTAGCCCTGTAACATTGTCAAGCTTTTATGTAATACGAAACTATACGAAGCGATTTGATTTGATTGGACGCTACTGAATTCAGCGAATGAGAGGCATCGACAGACAATCTGTGAACAAAAAGTCATAATGTTTAAAACCTATATGTCGAGGGCTCTGATTGGCTGTATTCTTTGGCGTACAATCCAATCAAGTTGCTTCATTCCGTGACACAAGAATGGTGGCTATTGCAGTCAGGATATTAGTACGAAGTTCGTAATAGCTTCACTTTGTGAAGATGGTCCTCGATGTGCGTTTTTGATTCAACATGAAGAATCAATTACATAAAAGTATATTAAACACCGAAATGTGATTACGTTTCTTGAGAATTCGTTTTCTTTAAAATACATTTGATTTAAGTCAATTTAATGTCCAGATTCATCGTTTAGGTCAGAGCATAGCACCTCTTCCTCACTCCCTACCCATTTTCGAGGTTCAACAAACACGAAATATTTCGTCACTACACAACACATCCTATTCAAGGGACGATCGCTTAATATAAACATATTTATTATTTTTTACCCTAACCACCCAAATATGTTTACATTTTTTCAATTTTTTTACGATAAGGGCTTGTTATTGTATGGCTGTGGCTAGCTGATAACGACAAATAATAGGACGAAGTGAAAGTTGAATTTGAGTAAGTCGTATTTCATTGATTCACTGCTGCAGTGATTTATTTGGGTTACTTACTCAATAATGAACATTAGAATCCTCACCTACCCCACCCAGTCTTTAACCAATTGTAGTTTTTATTTGATATATTTGCATGGCATATCACAGTAATAGCTTTAACATCTTAACGCAATTACTCTATCTATGCCTTTCTTAAGCTGAGTTCACATAGGAGTATACAGTATACGATAATCGCTGTACGCTATTCGGTATTCGCTATACGCACACGGCGAGTTACACGCGCGTCCTACTCGGTCCTTTGGCACCGATCAATTGGACACTTCTGACGAAGAAGATTACTTCTACCAGTTGAGGTTGAAAAGGCATATGGACAAAGTAGGGGCACCAGTCGAGCTTTTTCGGTGATTGTGTTCTTGTATATAATATTCAGTCGTTGGTTACATGTTCATATGAAGGCTTGTGCTATGTGGTATTATTGACTCTAAATAACACTACGTATTTCAGAGACAGACCACCAAGTAAATAACTATCGTGCAATTTTGTAACTTGATTTAGACCTTTGAAAACAGTAAATTTTGTTAAGCCAATGAAATTCATGTTATTTGATTGGCTGAAATTTCAAATAAAGCTCCACGCTTGAATATTTTAAATCAAATTAGAGACAACAATTAGTGGTTTATTCTGTCGAAATAAAGGATGGTATGGAGCTGACCTCATAATATAGATGAAAATTGCCAGTTTTTGGGAAAAAAAACTTCAAGGAAGAAAAATATTTCATCGCTACCAAATTGGTTGCGCTATTTCAAGATATATTCATAGATGGTCTTCTGACTCTCTACCGACGGCATGGAGAGACAGGATTTTCCGGTCTAGTTTTATGGTATCCGTGTGCCATTCAAAACGTTCACCGTACACCCGAACAGTATACTCCAAATGTCTCCAAATAATACCTTCGGATTTTTCAAACCGGTTTCCCCCGTCAGTGATGTAGGTAAGAAGGGCTGGCACGGAAAGAGCATTAAGTCGTTCGAATGGATCAATTAACTAAAAATATATGCAGCTTTATATACTCAACTTTTTAGACATAAGGTTTTGATAGCATTATTATTTCGATTAATTCAAAATGTAATTATGTTTTGTTATTTTGACCGTTCAATGTATTTTAAGATTCCATTAGATTCTATAATTGTATTACTTGCCTTTGTTTATATTTTAACTATACATTAAACTATAATATTCTTTATAATTCTATGTCACAGAAAATCGGAAAATTAGAAATGAACATACATACATAATCAGTACATATTGAAGATCACTTCCGGTTGAAAGGCTTTCTGATAATCAGATTTTTACAGACGTAAATTTTTTACCATAACTTATGTATATAAAAAAACTCGTTCAGAGACAAACATATACAGATACAAATATACTCTTGGTTTCAGCCCACAATTTCAACCATGGCCGTTTTCGATATTTCACATGAATATATTAAAACGAGGAAAAGGAGAATGCGCATTCATACCATTAATAGGATATTGTATTTGCACTATTATTTTATATTCCGTGTCAACTGAGCCTTTCTAATCCTTTTTAATCTTACATAAATACATGTATGTCATTAAACTAATTTGGAATCAAACATAAAGGTTCAAGTTAATCTGACCATTATAAGTTCAGAACAAACATAAATGGTACATTATTTATATCAATAGAATGAAATACAAATATTTCTATTATAGCTTGGAACAGTTTCAATCTAAACATTAACGGCTTATAATTTGAAATTCCATTTATATCTTATCTAAACTTTCCTCAATATAAACACAAAAAATATACATTTGATTTCACAATGGTCTTTGTAATTGGTGAAAGAAGTACGCCATTAGTATTACAGAGCTCGGAACTGAAACATTTTGAAAACTTTGTTTAAAGTTTAAATTTCAATTTATAAAAATCTTATGCAGAAAATATGTACGACTAAACTTTGCTCTTTTCCTCAAAAAGGGTACTTCACTTTATCTTACCGAGAACATTTAAAAGACAAAGTTTGTATTTTATCGTGTGATCTCTACATTTGTTAATGCTTCGAAAATCAAACAACTAGCTTGCTTGTCAACTGTGGCCAAACATATGACCAAGTTGAAATGGCAATAAAACGGTGACACTAACAAATTCGCCTGTGGCAAAGATGTACTTTTAAGATATGTGTAATTTTATCCCTCTGATAGATGATTTAAAAGCGGTTCCGATTTCCCTTAAACCGACAAAAATCCCAGCATCTTCTTCGAAAGTAATCAAAGGTTATGTTTTACAAACAAAATTGATACTTTAATTGCAGCAAGTAAATATTTATTAAGAAAGAAATTAAATCAATGGTCTTACCTTGATCATCCAGCAGCCTCTTGAAGAATAAAAACACAATTAACTCAGAAGAATAAAGTCTCAACTTTCCAGAAAAAAGTAAGTGGTAATAGACACGTTTCTCAAACACCAAATTTATTTAACCCCAAAGTCTGTCTAGTTTTTTTTATACAACGCGGAATTGTTTTTGTGAGAAATGTGAGGCAAACCAAACCAATCAAAAACTTCCAAAATCGAAGACTATCTATCGAATATTGGCACTGTTGTAGTTTTAATTATTTATAAAGGAGATTTATTCCAAAACAAGTGTGAGTCGAATCAATATAGTATGAAGGGTCACGAAAGGGAATCTACGTAGAATTTTTGTCCAATACGGAAGCATTGATACAATAGTCATAGAACACAGTTAGAAGTACAGCGCTGACAGATATACAGGTACCAATAAAGCTATTTCAAACTTTGTGGAAAAGCAATTGATTGAGCAGAGCTAGGTCAAACGAATACGGTTAGCAAAGATGACCTCGTTAAAAAACTCTGTAACTTGGTTTTGCACCACAAAATTTCACAAGTTCTATCACTATCATCAACTCTGTAACAGAAAGTTTCCTGTTCCCCTTAAAGTTGAGTTAATATCATAGGCACTGAATGTTAAAACACGCCAGATTTAAAATCCGCATCTTTTAAAATAAATCCCCAACAATATCCTATTAATGTTTGAAACACAGTCAGAACAGAAGATAGACAACACTATAATCTTAAAAATCTATTTCAAGTTACCAAAACAGAGTAACCAGCTATACACACAGTTCTTTTCAGTCACAGGGAAACATATGG